TGCTTAGACTCCTGACGCAAGTTAGCAGTCATCTTACGGAGGCATTTATGGGTGTCTGCCAGATCCATGGAGTGCTATTACTCCAAAGTGGGGAAGAGATTAGTGCTAATGTACATATTCTATCAGTTTAGTGTACTCTCGTTCTCCCGTCGTATCGGTCAATACTTGATCTGGAAGCACGTGGCATTTTCTGTTCAAAGAGCAGCTTAAACTATCCCCTCTTAAAGAGCTTCACGTATCAGTAAAACGAAGGACACTGTTCAGATATGAAACACAATTTCGTTGGTAACGCTATGTTTGTTTTATTAGGCATAGATATGAATAAAACAAGATTGAAGCCAGGGATATGGACTTAAGCCCCGGTCACATACATCGTACAATGCGCCTACGATGGAGGGTTTCGACCGTAAATTTGAGCCTCGGAATAAATGGGCACAGTACTTTGAAAATTAAAATCAAAGCTACGACATACGATGATGCATGTACGTGTTTCCTTGCGGAAAAAAACATTAATTGTAGGCGCATTAAGATAGAAAGAAAAGACCTGTAATTCTGTGAGCGTCCTGACATGTAGTATATGTATATATACCGAGTACATTGTAAGGATAAAGTTTCCAAGCAAAACTTTGTTGTACTTCGCCAAACCAGACTGTACATTGTGATGCATGACTTCACAAATCTTTTAATACTGCCATCAAGGAAATTCGTATGTCCATCTAGGACATTACGTCAGAGTGTACGTAGGTTTACGTAGACACATCCCTAAGTGGACCGAGTTATGAGGTGTGTGATGAGCTAGTACGACACAAAAGCCTACTTGTTAATGTTTTATCAATGATGTGTTATACTTAGACCCTATCAATAAAGAATGGGCGGAGAAGTACAGTAATGACTTTGTTTCGTGACTAAGTTACCCTTGGCTTTTCGAGACATTTTATTAGCTTTTTTGTAACGTCTTGATCCTTTCTTACTCATTTGGGACATCTCGTGAAATTTGCATGCATCTATTTGGTTTAGATATAAACCTATCACATCAGCCAAACATCCATATGGTAACCTCATATCTCCGCATATTTTCCTTGAAACAATTATATTGTTCATCTGCTCAAACCATCCGCGAGAGTGAAATAAAGACTCTTCTTGAGGTATACAGTTTCAAATCCATGTCATCTGTCCAAGATTATCTAGAACATGCACTGAACTACAGATTATAGCCCGGCAGTCTACAATCATACATACAAAATCATACAAGGCAAAATGTATACTTTAACATAGACGTGAAATTCAGGTAGCAAATTTCTCAAAATGCAGAAAATAGCGTTTCAAATTGTTTAGATTTAAAGGTCGTCCTGCGTCTAAGGCAAGTCTCCAACATCTCCGTACTCCCCCCCCCCCCGTCCCGACGAAATTTCCTGCTGCCGCCTCTCCTTCAGATAAAGTGAAGCTAGTGCACTTCGTAAGTATCATCTCATTAGTCAGTAGGTTTGTTGTCCCATGGCTATGACGCAACACCCATCACTTTTGCGGCCTCAACAGTAACTGCCTCGCCACAATATCTTTCAAATCACTGAACTTGACCTGAGATTTCTAAATGGGGTAGAAACGTCGTCTCTTCCTGACTGATACAAGATTTAAACACTTCCACGGCCAATAGATAACATAATACAGCCACTATGAAAATAGCCGACGAATATCGCTGCATTAATTTGCTGTCCCAATCCATCATTTTGCTAAGATAAGAATCCCGCCACTATCATATCCTTGCAATTAACTCACTAAACTGCGGAAGCTAAGATTTCCAAATGGACTTTTTTCTAGTGCTAACGTCCGAAAGAAGCAGTATTGACATTTTTGGGTACTTAACATTATGGATGCATATGCGGTTCAAATGAGTTTTTTTCATCAAAGGAAGACACTGAATATTCATTTAATAGGCCCAGGAGACAGCCCTGGTCCTGATGCATTTCAGCTTTGCATTGGTAAACTGTATTCGCTGTATCTAGAGATAAACCCTACTTATCGACCCTACTTTTTTCCACGACTGTAACCGAAAACACATAATGTTTTTTCTTGGCCTTACATTTCATATTTGTGTGTAGGTGGAACGTAGGTACAAGGGATGATCCTGGCTTCCCCCGCTCATTCATAAATTACGTTAGTCACCTCTCGCCACGAGAGCTAGCTATAAAAAGACGACGAGTCCACCCTTTCGACCACTTCTCCCGCTACCAGACGTTTCCGTAAGCCTTGAAGAAGAAGTATGTTTCGAGCCACGCTGTGTCTTGTGGTGCTGAGTGTGCTGGCGGTGGGTCTGGCTGATGAGGCCGAGGACACGCGGCGCTTCATCACGATGCTGGAGCTGGTTATGAACAACACCCCGCCTGGAGGGTCCCGCATGTCAGTGATGATGGCCAAACTGTGCGACCGTTTCCCCATCCAGTGTAGCAGGATCGGAGAGGGGACCTGGACAGGGAGTGAGTCCATCTTTCATTCAACCACCAAATATGTAACCTATTGCTGGCTGTTTCTCTTAGTTTGTCTCTGTACTGTTTTGTTTTGCTTTCTTTAAACTTAACAGTCAAACCTGCCTAAGCGGTGACCCCTTCAGGCTGGCCACTTCGCCATCAAACCACGTTTTGCCGGTCCCGATTTTTTTCCATAGGCACAAACATTTAGCGGCCTCTAGAAGACCACTTTACCTCGGTCCCGGGGGTGGCCGTCTTACAGGTGTTTCTTTAATAACAAAAACAGGTCGTTTCCGAATGTCTACCAGTATATTGCCATCAAGTGAGACCGGGAAAAGAAGTAACATGTAAGGACCACAGTGAAATATTGTTACCTAGCTCAGCGTGACAGGAGTTACAAAGTCAAATCAGACATGCGTCCATCATCTACATTGTGCTGAAAGCTCCTCTTCCGTGTGATGAACGTTGTACATTACGGCGTACAGATCACCTTTTAACCTGCACACATCACTACTTAATCTTCCAAGACCTTTAGCTTTTGCCTACTGGGATATCCGGATAGAAAGACCCATCTCTGTAAGAAGGGACCAAGCGACATCACGAAAATCCTGACATTTCACGGCGATATTTCTCCTGCAATATAAAGCCGTATACATTTTGTCGGCTTTTAGGGAAGACAGATGAATAGTTCTGTCAGGCGTTAGTCCCGTGTGTATGTATCAGTGGGTCTTTCAACTTTCTTTTCCTGGCGATGATGTAAAGCGCTGTTTACAACTACTTTTGTACCCGCTGTTGACTACTAGTCTAGGTTACAGCGTATCGTACCTATGGACCAAGTTTCGCTTCTTCGATCGTACGTCTTAATGCACGCTTGCCTCCCTTCTGAAACAAATTCCAATGTAGTATCGAGGAGTAAGGACACTCCTTTCAACATGTTACAGAACGAAACACAGATATGCAAGACGGCGACTCTCCCACGGCGATGTGCTAATGTGTGGACCTTAGTACAAATCGTTTACAAGATTATAACCCTTATATGTAGCATGGAGGCTGACAATTTTGTCTTGTGGTTAGTGTTGTTGATATAGAATCTAAAAGTTCTGGGTTTGAATCCCTAGCAGACCACAGTGTTGTACCCTTGAGAAAGGCGCTTTACCTAGCTTCAGTAGGTTACGCCTCTTGTGTTTGAGGTGACCCACACTTCAAGCACGTTAATGATCCTATCACACTTATCGAAAGAGAAGCCTTCCCGGTGTGAGTGGATAAAACCTTACAGGCTAGTCTTATGCAGCTTGTACTTACTATACAGAACTGGTGTGTTACGCCTTAAGGCGGTAAATAAAAAAAATCTCTTCTCAGCTGAACGCCAGCGGCCTGTCCAGGATTGGAACCCCAAACCTTTCAATCCACAAACGTGATGCTCAACCACTAGAATTAACATTACACATGCTACTAATAATAAATATACAGTTTGCATGCTAGACACATCTTTATTTATTGCTCTACGCCTTCTTCTTTTTCTTCTCCAGGTGGCCACTCTCTTTCGTTGCCAAGATTTGGATAGATCGAAGTCTTAGTTCTTAAGGTAAGTTATTCCATCGCAATGTATAGCTATACCAGTGTGTTATATAATGTTTTTCTCGAACGTTTTTACGTACTAGTAACATATACTTCCATATGTTTCCTTTCATCTTTTGTCCCCGTTATATGAGAATTTATGAATGAGATTGTAGCAGCAACCTCACTACTAAAACATGTTGGCTCTGTGACTTATGGTTGAATCTTATGACTGAATTTCACCTTCGATATGACCTTATTTGGAGCGTGACGTTAACATAAAATCGGATGACTTTGGTCGGATGACATGCACTTGTAATCTTCTTTCTGCTGCCTAACCCCATAATAAACAGAGAATTTGTTGCCAAACGGCTACTTTAGTGTGCCAAACTTCGCGTCCATGACCTTGGTCTGTTCTTGGGTCTGTGGGGGAGGTTCTTTAGTATGATACAGCACGAGGTCTGAGAAGTTGCTCCAGGGAAGATTTTGTTATGCACACAAGGGCAAGGGGTGATTCAACTGGGGAGCTTTTTGCGCCGATAGCTGCGGCCCAAAATCTGTCGTGTTTCAGATCTTTGCTCCCTCAACAGGAGGGATCAGAGGAGAGCTAAAATGTTGCACGTATACATGATAAAAGCCCTGACACAACCAGGGGGTGTAATTAGATATAACATTTTTGAGCATTTCATGGAAAAAATGAAAAAAAAAGCTGAAAGGTTTGTAATACAATGTAAATAGACAGTTCACATATAGGTCAACTTTCTACCGCTGGTAGTGTAAGGGCTAGAGGGCTCGTAGTTCGTGGCTTATTCATCAAAGCCTCCCCTTGTAATCGGGACATTGATCAGAGATTACAGACCGCGGTCTCATTCGTCGCACAGAACATTTTACAAGATTACCCGTCCGTGTTCCTAATTTTAATCCCACGGGATTATTACATTGCTTTGAAGTATACCATGATGTTTTTTTTTCTCTTCTCGTTCACAGATATCCACACGATGTGCGTTTTGCTGCCTCGCCTATGACAGGACACGCAACTCAAACATCGGGAAACATGGTCAACAGATTTAATAGATATGTACAACTGCACAAAATTTACTCTTTTTATTTGACGGACACAACTGCAAGAGCAAGATCGCGGCGGCCCCACGACTCAACATTCAGAGTACAACTGTCGAAGATCCCATACAATTACAGACAGAACCCTTGATAAGACATCGGCGTCATTTTACAGTTCTGTGTCCAACGTTAGGTATTAACTATCGTTAAAATGTTCTGGCTTTAGATGAGATGGATCTCATTTTGTGGACTGAATCAGGCGGTACTTATGAATAGTTCAACCTGTAATCACTGAGACGAGTGTTTGAGTGAACATGTTTATAGGGATTAGTGAACAGAATAAACCACCAAAGGATGTACAACTTTTGTGATGGAGTGTTTAATATACAATACGAAAGATTCCAATCAGACGTGGACGCACTGGTAAAATGTTTTGCGCACTGAATGCCAAATGTAGCCCAATGGTAATTCAAAGATGGTACCACAGGGGACGTATTGATGACAGGTTGGTTGCGTTAGCTATAGCTTGCTTAACATTAAGGTGATGTTCACTTCCACAAAAAGGTGGTGCCTGTAACATAAAATGCAACACATCAGAAAAGGTATTTCAATTACCTTCAATACGGAAGTGATTTTTGAAATTGATATACGTAGTCTTGACTTTCATCTCTTTTGTTTTAGCATCGATGGAAGGAATGCATGCACCTCCCATAAAGAGATGACCTTTCCTGGGGCATTTCTGGGACCTTTGACCTAACTTCCTGCCAGTGTCCTTATATACACCATCTGAAAATTGAAATAACTGCAGACACACAAGCGAACACACCAACAGACACACACACAAACACACAGAGACACACAGAAATAAAGCCTCCGTGCATGGATGTAAAAGAAGGCCTCAGAGTGAACATATTATGGGACTTCCTCCGCCATAATGTCTCATGGTAGATGCAGAAACGAAGGTCAATGGACGTCAACGGAAGTCACGAAAGAGTACACCTGGCATATACACCATATGATAGTCTAGTGTTAATCATTCAGCTAGAATAAACCTGAATTACTTACATCAGAATTGGTGCCCTCGGATTCCCTCTCTTACTTTCGCGCCAGTCCACCCATGTAACAGCACAAACAGGTCATGTCGGGGGTAAAATCGCCTTTGGCCAAAATCGCGCGCGATCAAACATTCTCATCTTTACAGATTTGGGACAATAGGGGGCGACAAAGGCGAGAGAAAGATTGCATTCTAGAGTTTGCTATTTCTTTTTGACTATGGAAATCGTATGTTAAGACACCAGAAGTAAATGTAGTTAAAACGCCGAAGGGATGAAAAATTTAGCCGTCAACCTTATGAACTTTGTTCAATGTGAACACCAACAATATAGACTAAAGCAACGTCGGGAGAACAGTACCTACGTTTATTTGAAAAAAAGATAGATACAAACCTATAGGTAGGAAGAATAGACGATATATCTGACATGTCGAGTCGAGTAGAGTATGGGTGATAATCTATTTTAGAAAGCTAAGGGGCAAATGGCACGGAGACGGCATTTACCATTTCCAATGGATTTTGCCCCTTTTTGGCATATATTACATGTTCGACACTCATATCTTCATATATACGCACTTGTACAAAACATTGAGGATTATCTGTGATTCAGATGAACAGCTCATAATGACGCATATGAACGGTAAGGACAGTACACGCACGAGGCGATTATAAGCTTGCAATCATCTTTAATTAGTTGGTTGATGGCGAAAAAATCTTTCCAAACTCTTTAGTTCATCACTTAAGTGTGCTCACCCGTAGAATTCATATCATGAAGTGCAGGACACACGACAAGCTGATAATGTAACATGTGTGTTTAGTGGAATACGTTACTGCCAGGTGAATCAGACACCTCCGGTTTATAGTGGTCCCCCCGGGAGGTCGTCACCCCGCCAGTAAAAGCGTCGAAAAACCTCGTCAAACCCGACTCGACCAGTCTGTTCTGAAGAAAAATGGCGGTGGTGTGAGGCGATAGGCATTCCAAAGGATCGCAGTATCGTCTTCTTCGTGCGCAGATCTTGTCTGAATTACCGTCTTCTTGAAGATAATACCACGCAAGAATGATTACGACTCTCTAAAGTTGTAAACAGTCACTTAAGTTTCGAGATCCGACGAGAAGAGAAGCCAGTTTGGGGGCCGAGTACTTGTTTCGCTCTAGGCAAGTAAAACCACAGGTAGGCAAAATTTTCCATTGATGCTTTTCTTGGCTGTTTCATACAGTGCTGGTTATTGCATGGGGTACAGTTGCATGCAGACATTATTGTGTTTTATGACAAAGACTGGTCCCCAACGTCTGTGGCATACTTGCACGCATACTTCTTATGAAGGTGAAAGTTGTTCAAGCAAGTTTGCGATTTGGGGGCGTGGCTTCCTCTCATATTGAATGCTGTGAATTCAAACTGATGAAACGGCCACCGTAGATATGCCAATCCAAACGTTCATTATTTTACAGAAAAGTGCCAAGTGTTCATGTTGATCTCTTGGTGTTGCTGTACGTGGTTGATGAGCAAAGTGTCTGTTTGAGTGGAATAAACTACTGTACAATGCAATATAAATGGCTGAAAGCGTAGAATCCATGTCACACCATGACATACATGTATCCAATACATGAAGAAGATCACAACAGGATTCCACATATCATTAAAAACTGTTAACTATTCATTAGTCACTGCCTCCAAAGAATAAGTCATAGTCCAGTAATGTAAGACGACGAAATTGTACCTGATTTTGTCCTTTACATTCTTAATGGTTCACAAAGCACACGGGTCTTAGTTGTTCGGAAAATTAAATAGGCTCTTTCTCTCACCGATCTTACAGGCCAGCAACTTATGAGTCATTGTGTATGGCAAATGAAATAGACATGATTTCAGGTTCAGTGTATCAGCAAGTGTTGGGATGGCCTACATATTAGTTCCAAGTGTTAAGCAAGTTTGAAGATGTATGAAACAGTCATTCATTGCTTTCATGAACTTCCGTTTGTAGTGGTAGGAGTAAAAAAAGTTGTTTTGAGAATCGGTGGTCATTCATCCTCCCATAACTGTTACCCTCGTTGCTTTCGGGGAGACCGTTGAAAATTGAAAGTTAGAGCCTGAAAGATGGAGACAACAAATGAAGATACGAATGTAATGACGTAAGTACGTGGAAAGATTTTACAGCTCGACTACTGACATACATGTCAAGCGCCTGGTCACATTCGTCCCACGATCATCTTACGATCGCAAACAGGACATTCTTGGAATAGCCGTGATTGTGTGATACAAAGTTCAGCTGTCTTGTAACAGAAAAGGCTGTTTTAAAATATATCGTTATCGGTATTTGGATCTGTCACGGCCTGCTTTAAAATCTTACCAAGTCAAACTCGTACGACGACCTATAATGCCCGACGAATGTGACCGCATCTAAATGGACATTCAGACATTCAATGACAAGAACTAACTCCCGTTTTTACAGGAGCCTGGTAAAGATGAAGCGCCCTCCTAAACGCACGCTGGTTTACTCTCTACTTCTGGCCAGCTTCTTCATATCAGGTGGCCTGTATCCCAGCATGCAACTGGGCTTGTCAGAAGCGGTGACCAAATGGGTAGGTACAAAAACCCCTCTCGACAGCACAAAATATATGTCATTTGGTGATCTATAGTATTCCTGGAATTGAAACTATTTGCTAAAAAAATGGAGGAATTTATGGCTTCATCTAATGTTGTTTTACAACACTGATGAACTTTTTTAAGTCAATACGCACACCAAGATACAATGTAGCTTATTCCTGTTAGGTGGTGAGAGCCAGCAGCTATAAAATGTTTTGAACAGATTGGGTGGAAAACTTTGAATAACTTGGGTGGTAAAAAATCAAACCCAAAAAATGGCTCTCCTTATTATTGGACAGAAAAATGGCTCTTCACTGGAGCCAAACACGTAATCTCTTACATGTGATAGCTCTGTTTCAAAGTAATCTTTCGGATCGAATTTTGTAGGCAACAAGGAAAAATACAACCATACAAATAAATGAACATCTAGACGAAAAATCACGCTGTACCACCCCTGACAATTTTACGAGCAGTGAGCGGTCTGTATGATTTGTTTTGTAATGCGTAATGAGTGTTACAGAACCATCAATTAAAGATTAAGAAACACCAAATGTACGCTACACACGCATCTGATTAGTAAACATTACATGTTAAATCTAGATCTACTCGCTAAAAGGTGATTTTAGCCCAACTGTAAATAGTTATATTTTGTAGTATTGAGCTATGAGTTACATATGCGTCCAGTTTATACAAATGAGATTACAATTAATTTTATCAGTTTTTTCTTCCAATTGAGTTTGCAATATTTATAACAAGAACATTGTGAATGAGTACAGTTTACATTTATTACGTTTATACAGCAGATGGTTTGAACAGGGTGCCCTATATCCTAAACAGGTATTATAAAGAGGCTTTCAATCATGTCGCATGGAATGTACCCTTGGGCAACTTTGACACATCGTTCAAAGCATACAAACGATACATTGGGTGGGAATTTTTTTAATCGGACCCACAGAGAGCATCAAATCCATGTATTTAAGGTGACTGGATTTTTATGAAGTTACCAGGGTTAAAAATGTGACAGCCTTGTTAAGACACCTTAAATCAATCTAAAACTTTACCACGTACATATATCACTCCGATGACCCTTGGCTAAGTGGTAGAGACAATAAGGGGTATGTGGTAGCCTGCGGGCCAGATGAACGGAGGTCAATAGGGATCAAACACACACACACCTCAAACAATGAGAGGGACCATTATTTCATATTTTTCAGTCGTTTCGATAGTTTAGATGATCAGGATTGTTTCAAAGTTTTTCGTTTATCACACTGGTCTCTGTTGGTACGTCAGTGAGAGTACAAATCCCCACGTGACCGCCTAGGGCGCCACGCACAGATTGGGCGACTCGTCTGCCTACTTTACAACAAAAGCCCTCTCATGAAGGGCCCATTTCTTATCTACTCAAGGATGAAATCGCCTTTACAGGTAGCTTCGTTTAACAACGTCTAGGGACGGAGTATCAAAATAACCTTCGAAACCATAACACAAAATGGGTCAAGAAAAAAATCCCAACTGTGGTGATAAATGTTATTATGGTCTAAATAGCTTTTTTGTTCTCACAAATACAAACGAAATCTTGATATAGGTTATGAATTGACATGGAAGATTTCCCTAGGGGGCACTGACAGAGATGGCACTCTTAATCTAACACATGATACAGAAGATGTCATATAATATCCATCTTTCAGTTTTTAATCACTTATCAGGGTGAAAAACGTGCGATATCGATTGCAAAGAACTACTAATAAACATCATCTCTTAAAACAATGGGTAGATGATGCTTTCTATGGCGATTTTTAGAACATGTGCGTATTTTTTTGCCTAGGGCAATGTTCTATACAGCTGTCATTATTGGCGGGGACTGAGAAATATCTGTTTCACCTGGGGGTCACCAACCACGACTTACCATTGAGTTCAAAACAACTTCAGAAAACAGCTTTAAAGTCTTTGATAACAACATATACTACAATATCTGTATATCTAGGTGTATCGGACCATATTCAACAATAAAAGTACACAACAATCTACACTTTTATAAACTTTTTACCATTGTATTCTCTGTCCATATCTCATGAATTCATCACAAACTCTCATATTATGGTTGACCTTACTTGACCTTGAATCATCAACTTCTCTACCGGCAAGTTAACCCTGTCACATATTGAGTAGAACTGTCAGCATCGATACATGTTGTTATTTCATGTTAACAATAGCTCACCTTTTTGCTTCTCTATGATCTTTGCACATTTTTACCATTTGTAAAGTAATGTAAGTAATGTAGAAATAAATAAAGAAAGAAATGTTGCTCATTATGTACACCGCAAGTACTTTTTCTATACCATGCTGTGAAAAAAATGTACCTGCTTTAATTTACACATGTTTCTAGCGTTCACACTGTCTCTTGGCTCTTCCCCTCCTTTCTTGCCGTTATACCTGTGACTTGTATGGGAACGCTGCCCCCGTCATGCCTTGCACCACCAGCACCCAGAGTCCAAGGTAAGTACAATGATGTCACGGCGCGGTCACATCCGTCGTAGGACGTCGTACGAACTTGGATGCTGGTAGTATTTTTAAGCAGGCTGTAACAGAACCATCACCGTAAGGATCTAATACAGCCTTTTCTGGATCCGTCGCAAGCACAACTGAATTTTGTACGACAGATGCACGACCATCCCAAGATCCACGACGATCGTACGACGCATGTGACCGGGTACTAATTATAAATAAGTAGTGGATAGTAGTGTAGAAGTGTCTAAACATACTGACGATATGTGCAAACGTAAAGGTAAGGTAAAGGCTGTGGTGTGTATATTGAAAGGACATGTGACTAATGCTAACTTCTTCTCCTTTTCATCATCATCACCATTGCTGCTGCTATACTACTACACTCTTACAATACTATGGCATGTTGGATGTCTGTGCAATCTACACTGGTTGGCAGAATACTTTTCATAATTCACCCCCCCCCCCCACAAAAAAAAACCCTGGTCTAAACCCGTGGCTGGTTTCCAAGACACCCATGATGATGTTTGACTAAGGTACTAAGACATCTTCAGGCAGTGCTAACTCTCGAATAATAACCCATACGTCTTACCCATACGTCTTACCCATGCCTTTATACCTTTACTCCTGCTTCTAATCAATAACCTACCCCAACAGATATTAACTAACAGTGTCGTAAATACATAAGCTAACAATGGATTAACAGTCATCCTGACACACACACCCCATATGTAACATCTTACTTCACTAAGGTTAATGATAAGCTTGATAAGGTAATTGCCGGAGCCGGAGTTAATACACAAACCTCGAGCCTGTGCTATTTGACGAGAAATTACGCTGTTAAAACACCAAAATGTTTTATATTATACATATCATGATACGTTTCACGAATATGTGAATTGTGGTGTGAAATCATTAAAAGTAAAGAATGACTTAAAAGTGCCTTTATAAACGCACAATTGCTGCATGGAATTCGACATTCAAGCATACCTCAAAGCATGCGTTCAGGCGACTAAAATAACGGAACCTTGAAGTTATCTTTAAATGTCGAATCTTAAAGGTGAATTTTAGAATGAAGAATATGATGTTTACAAAGTTGGATTCTTGATTATTAAAGGAAATCGGAGAGGAAACTCCGAGCAGTCGGGCAGAAATCCCTTCTCCATCCGCGCATGAGCAGAGGGGGGACCAAGACGAGAAGACGCCGTGGTACATCAACTTCATCCGGGCATTTCTGGAGACGGAGCTCGGGCCAGATTCCAGGATCTCCAAAAAGGTCAACCAAACACGAGAAACACCACGATGTCAAAAGCCACGAAGTCAAAGCAAGCAAGCAGGAAAAGAAAACCCACCACCACCACCACGAAAAAGAAGACGAACCTGAAATGGAAGTCCGTGAAGAAGGGAGGAGCAGTGTCGCCTATGCTGCCGTTCAAGCCATGCAGGAATCAGAAAACGCGCTGCACCAGTTCCTGAGAGAGTCACTCCTGACCAGGTCAGACCAGGAAATCGAGGAAGAGCTAAACGAGAGAATGAAGAGACAGGTAGCTTTATTTTGAGTGCTTTTTAATGAGGTGATACTGATGATATTTTACACCTAAGGCATTCCCAGTACTGAAATTGTATGTTTTCTAAAATACAAATATAGACAACGTTTTATACAACGACTAAGGGGTAGAATTCTGCATAGAAAATTATTGATACATGTATATGCGATTTATAATGTATCTAGATGGATTGACGCATCTTAGCCTGTTTGGTTGCTCACTGAAATGATATATACTGTAACAATAATTGAATTCCCGTACAGGACGATGGGGACTGGGTGCAGGCGATGGGCATCGTGCATCACTTGATGTTCCCCATCGGTCAGATCTTCTTCGCCTTTCCCGGTGGTTTCGTGGCGGCCAAGGGCTCAGCAGTCAAGTAAGTTTCAAAAGTTTAGGACTTCATTCCTTGTTGAATGTACATCATATCTTACTAAATGAGAACCCCAATGTTTCACAATTGTGTGCGCTAACAAGTGGCAAGTAACAAGTAATGACGCTGATTACTCCTGGGACGGAAGTATTGTTTTGGGCGGAGTTTGCATCTTACAAAGATTGGAAGTTGGTGACAGGAGATTAGGTTCCAGTTGCTTGACAGGGTTGAGACCCAGTATTCCCTGGGTGGTAGGATATGGTATGAGGTAAACAGGAATGTTTGCTGTGTAATCATGGTATGGAGTATAAACCATGGTGTAATATCGGATTACGTTACGGCCTACAATCGTAATAATCCACCTATGATGTAATTCGATCAGGTATTTTCCTGTGATCAAACAATGTAGTTCAAATACATTCAGTGTGAAATCTCCGATCTTGGAAATGTAATTTTCTCTTTATGCAGAATCCTGGGGACGATGATGTTTATATCGTGCCTGGTTCACCTGTTCGTGCCCCTGCCCATGACGTTCCGTGGAAGCCCGCACACCGCCGATGTCTCCGTGGCCGTCATGATGTTTCTGGAAGGCTGCTGTCAGGTAACAGCCGCTAGATGTCGTTCATTGTACCTCCATATCAGAAATGACTTTTCTAGATGCATTTCAATAGATGAATGAATGAGGGCCTAAATACATTTCTTCCACACCGGGCCAGGTAAAGGTCACAACAAAACGTGTACAAAGTTGCTAAATACAGTTACTACATCAGCTCACATCAAATAAATTTAGCTCGCTTTTTGTTTAGTGTTTTCACATATTTGAACAGATATGAGTTGCCTTGATGATGCTGTTTAAGACACATACCCTCATGACAAACAGGGAGTGACCATACCTGCGGCGTACGGCGTGCTTCACCGCTGGGCGCCCAAGTCGGAGAGAAGTACCATGGTGTCACTCACCTTAGCAAGTAAGTAAGGGACGGCCACGTCGTCTCTGATACTGAAAACGTCCGGGGAAGGGGGCATTGTTTTAATTAGTTTGTGGGGCAGTTGCAGAGAGAGAGTAGATGGATATTATTGGTCACTCGATTGACAGGGAGGTCAAGCCTGAAGATGACCCCGGGTAAGAGTAGTTGAACGGTACGTGGATAAATTCAGGAATTGGCTGCGGTATGTGTGTTATTATATACACCGTACAACCCCCTCAACAGGTACAATACATTCACGAAAACCCAAAACACTTCCTGGAGGACAATATACGATTTCTTGTTACCATGTAATCCACGTCGACTGCATTCAGTATAGAACGCTTTGAATATGTAAGGGAGTTGCTTTGCTTGAATATGAGCTAAAATTACCGTTTATTCTATAGCGTATTACCTAGGAAGGCTGGCTGGTCAGTTTTCGTGTGCTTGCCTTGAAACAAGCCCATGGATACATGCCCGCTTTCTACATCTACGGTAAGAAGTCTATAGCCTATCAATCGCCAAGTTAATCGCCATAATGGTATTTCTATGCAACCAATGTCTGCACAAGAAAACAGTCACTCAGATATATTTTGAAAACTGTCATACGTTTCAAGTAGCATCCACTTCTTTTTCCTCGGTGACAGCCAATGTTTGAGTCGCGGATATGCGAACACAGAATCTCTTCGCGATGTTTTTACCCTAGAAAATTCCAAAAACACTGTATTTTTCTTTTCTATCTGTATCAAAAGCCAAACGAGACGACAGTCGTGTTGACTCATTGTGTTCTGCTAACGTTCTAATTACCAGGTCCACTCGGCATCGTCTGGTCGCTAGTGTGGGTTCTCTCCGTGAAGCCCAACCCAAGTTTAGACGACAACATCAACACGTCCGAGAGGGACACCATCAACTCCGGCAAGAACACAGCGCAGGTGCGAGCACCGTGATTGGATGATTGTGATTTGAAGATTATTGGTTGATTGTGATTGGCTGGTTGTGAAAACAGGTTGATTGGTAGGTTGGTTTTGTTCAGCAGATTGTGAGAACAGGTTGTTTTGCCCACAGGACGGAAGTGAAATCCCGATGAAGGAGGTTCTGACAGACCGGAACACGGTGTCATACCTTGCTACCGGCCTGTGTTTTGCCTGGGGTATGAGTGTACTGTTGAACCACGCACCGCAGTACTTCGCCGAGAAGGTCGCTCTAGATGTCGGAAAGGTATGTTAGATATCAGTCCGCCCTTTGTAATCTCTTCATCTCCCATCAGTATTTCGCATACATATCCTATCCGTCTGGTAATGACGTCACGTAAGTGGGCCTATTCGAATATTCAAATGGCAGATAGAATGTGTGCAGGGGAAGGGCAGGGACAGTTTTGGGCAGGGAAGCGACAGAGATAGTGCCAAAAAAGCATGGCATCTAGACAAGAACGTTGAATCAATCCATGCGAGGTATATCGCTATTTTGCTATATTTTTGGTGTTTGATATCCAACCATGGCAGATTTGACATAAAAGAATGTGTTGTAGCTGTAATACAGTACATTGTAATGGTTCTAATGACGGACTTGTTCCAGTCACCTTGGTTGCTGTGGACCCTTCCCCTGGTGATGTCAGCTGGGATGGTGGCAGCCGGGCCGGGAACTGACATCGCCATCTATAAGGGCGCCAGCACAACCACCACACGTAAAGCCGTGACTGGCTTTGGTAAGTGGGTTATCTTTTTGGAAGAAAATGGGAGGGAGATAGGGGAAAGACAAAGGGTATGGGGCATGGGATTTGCGAACTCCTGGTTGTAGCCCAATTTTATGTGGGGCTCTGCTGATATTGTGATAATGTGGCCAATAAAGTATGAAATAAGTATGAAATTTAAAAAAATGATTTAAAAGCGGCAGCGTCTGTTTATAACATTCTCTCGCGATGTACGTTATATGTGCTCTCGATTTTAGGTCTTACATGTACATGGGCAGACAGACGGCATTTTCCTGAAGTTTGAATGTTGTTTTCCCAGCTGGTGCTTGCGTGTTCTCCTTCGTGATGGCCATGGCGTTTACCAAGAACCAGGCGTACGCCTACGGAGGGACAGTGGCATCTATGGTCATGATCGGCATGGCCATGGGAGGAGGTGAGTTACATTCCTTGATTTTTGTCAGCAAGTTTAAGTGGTAGAAAAAATGCAAAACCAGTGCTCCTGTCTCCTGAGAAGAGGATAAATCATTGACTCCATGTTTTGATGTCCACAGGTTATGGCGTGACGCCGCTGGACGCCTCGGACCGGTACAGCAGTATAGTTGTCGGTATCGGCGTGTCCATCAACACGGCTCTGTTCCTGGTCAGTCCTGTCGCCGTCATGGGACTAAGCGGTCCTGGCGGGGTGAGTACGGACATGGTATGGGCATGGACGTCACAGTCCCGGGTCCTGCTGTTGTCTCACTGGGATGACTTCGTCATTTAAGCATACCTTAAAGCGTACGTAAAGGTTCACTTTTCAGGCGAGTAAAATAACGGAACCTTTACGCATGCTTTACGGTATGCTTAAATGTTGTTGGATTTCATCAAGTGACTGTCATGATAGTGTGGTAGTCTGTAACATCATCACCCTGTCATTATTACCAATCGGATGTTTAGAGAGTTGAAGCATGGAAAGGATGGTAACATTTCAAATTTAAATTTATATCCCACATCAGGCGGCAAAAAGGCAGGTGGAGGCTGTGTCCGGCTGGCGAACAGTCCACATCGTCACCGCGGTCGTCATGGGCGTCGCCCCGCTCATCTACGGCGCCGTGACGGGCGAGGGAGAGATCTTCAAGTAAGTCTGCTTCTGGCACCTTTTGTTACTCTGTATGGTTTACGGTTACTCACTGGAGTGGGTCTGTATCTACCGTGTCAGGTCACATGGGAGAATGACAAGCCAATTAACTGAAAAAATTAAGTGACTTGAAGTTCGCAAAATCTGACAGAATTCACGAAAATCCAACATACGTCCAGAATTCTGAAACCTCTAACTTCTTTTCTGCACTTATAATGTTAACAACTTAGCCTCTATGTATTCGCTACTAATATCCTGTGTTAACCCATACATGTATGTCTATCTTTCATCTCAACAGGGGATGGGAGTTCAAAAAACCAAAGCTTCCCAAGTTTCTGAAACGTCGCTGATGACCACTTCTTTTGCTGCCTTCTCGACCGCTAGCAAATGCAACTACTCACAAGTTTGTCCTCTGCTTCCAAAACCATTTGTAGCCAGTATACCCACAACTCAGCATTCAGAGGTGCATCCCTGCAATAAACAGTAACTAGACCGGGTAGTAGCTAGCAACATGGATCTTGCCTGTTGATTAAGACGCCGTATAAGCTATGTTTGAATGCTACTCGCATTTTTAGGTGATTCTGGTGTATATCGTATCAGACAAGGATAATGGAACAGCATGAGTAAATGGTGTTGAATGATAGATTGAACTCTAGCTTTAGAAATATTTATGGGTTTTATTCGTAGTCTTAACTAGATATTTTTTACATTTTGAATACTTTTGAACGTAGTAGTAATACTACTTAGTATTCACAATGAAACTACCATATCATCTGTCTATATGATAGATTATATTCACTTCAAGCAGTGTAACACAAGCAAATAATTATGTATTTTCAGTCAGAATACTATCTGAACAGTGTTTTCAACAATATAATTGGTGCTTTGATTTAACTTCCTATAATTGCAATGGTGCAGTTCAGTATACTGAACAATTTGATTTGTGGGCCAGTGTGCTGCAAATAAAAAAAAGTACATCATGCATTTTGTGACTGATCATGGTTTATGAGTTTCCTTGACTTGTAGATGGTTTCTTATCCCTGTAATAACTTTGTACGTAGGACGTGTGAAGGAATTTAACACTCCTGTCGGCAAAGATATAACAGGCATCAACCCATTCGCATTAGGTGGAACAAGACAGCACAGTGATGCCTCCTGGCGAGTGTTCCATAAAAGAACCAGTTGTGCTCGATGTTTCTTCCTCGACCACAAAAAAAAACTATAGTGCGCATATGCTATAGTATTATCACGGAGGTTGTAGTGCTTGGTTTCGACAAAATAAGATTATTATTTGACGTGCCTTGAAGTAAGATAGCCACGAGATACCAACCTCATTGGAAACACTAAAGATCATTAAAACAGTTAAAAATTGCCGGGTCAAAGGGCAATGAATGTCCTGCAAGATGGAGACATTCGAAAACAATGACGACACGTCTTAAAAGTCAGTCAGCACTTTTGTTCCTGAAACTTCTCTTTCTAAATCATCAGTTGGTTCTACGGTAGAAACAAGTGTAACATCCATACAGACTACTTCGTATTGCATACCAGAATGGGGGGATTTCAGGTCATGCATGGGAGTGCGTTTCACACAAGGATCGAAAGAAACTGGTTGAGCAAGTTCCTGACTTGTTTACATGTTGGGAGATGCCATAAACACCACCTGCGTGTGTACGTACAGTTCTGCTGCTAGCACAACATAAGTTGCAGCGAAGACGACGATACACCGTCTACCAAATCAGCCACATGTACAAGATCTTTGCTGCTAAGGTCTATTGTGGTCAAGTGGAAGAAAACTTTGCTGTCAACTTCTTTAAATGATATCGATTATACTGGTCCGCGTACCAAACACAATACTTAACGCACTTGACACAATAATCTCACACGTATTTTTCTTCAGTTGTTGATTGTTCAGTTAGAAGCAACTTAGTTCACGCCAAGCGACCCATGTTTGAACGCGTGGCTTTCTAAACTAATGGAATGTTGTTAAGGTAGCCCTTGGCATCACCGAAACCTGTCCGCATTATATACACCGTAGTGTGGTCTACGAGTATATGAGCTAGGGTATCATTTCGTCAAGTAGAATAGCAATCTGCGGTTAAACAGGTATATAGATGTGCATACTCTGGGGGAGGAATATTTCTATCGCAACCTTTGTCAAAAGCGAGGTCACAAATAAAAGGAAGAGTACCCGGGGAGGAGTAATTTTCAGCTTGTATATCTTGGTTAGTATACACCTGTGGATCATACTTTTGTCAGACATTATGCATATTGTTATAACGATTCCGAAACAAGTATGTTTAAAATTTTAGATTCACAGAAAGAAGAGAAATATTGTGCATGCAAAATTGAACATGCTTTGACAAGACTCTAATGATGTGATATGCAACGAAGAGTTTTAGAGGATGCAGCTTTGAGATACTTCCGTTTCATAGTGACCTCCCCGGTAAGTCGTCAGCGAAAGCGTCGATCGGGACACCCAGTCTAAAACTGACCCGACGACATTCTGTTCTGAAGAAAATGGCGGAATGGTGAGACGATAGGCATCACTGTGAGTTGCAGTATCGTCTTTTTCTGGCTAGTATCTTCTCCATATCACTCACTACCAGAAAGGACTACCACTCAAGCATGACGTAGATTTAGATAGCTTGGGAAAAGGTGTATTTGTCTTGAAAATCTGAGAAGAAAAGAGAGAAGAGAGGTATTTTACGGATTGGAGTCACGTTTCGCCTACGACAGGCGACATTTCAGGTAAGAAACCAGTTTATAAAAACATCTTTCTACCATATAGATGTATTAGTGGTTGAGTCCTTAACTAGATTGTCAAATTAAGGATAACATAAATGAACCATAGACATTGGTTCTTGCCGTCTGTTTATCTCTTTGTTGTGTTTAACTTTTTTCATACACACCTGAGTGAATTGGTTGAACCCAACAAGTCATTAAAAGAGTGCTAAGACAAAACCCTACAAAATACAAAAAAGCTATAAGATTGTATATGTTTATCACAATGATGAAGGGTATCAGGGGCAACCAACATATTAATTCGACATATTTGCAAACATATTTGATCAACCGCAGAAGGAAAAGGTGAATTTTATAATTACCAAAGCAAGCGTATCTACCTAGGGGGCGTGGTTATAGGCAGTGGTGAAATGATGAAACATCTGGACGATGTGATGATGATTGTAGATACACCGACGATCACAATAAATCTTTAAACTGCCCATTGTTTGCATAAGGATGTTGGGTTAAACGTAAGGACATTTGGTAAGCAAATGATCCTCAAGTAAGAGCAGTTTTGATGCCAGAAGACGGGACGAGCACGTGGTTGTCATGTTCTCTGTGTCAGATAAATCAGTGCTCCTTACTTGACATGAGCATATTTATAGACCTGAAGATGCGAACATAAAGGAGACACGATCTATGTTCTAGCGACACATATTCTATAATTTGAAAGATTACTGGTACAAGTGATGAAGAAAGTTTTGTTTCACTAAATGGACTGATGTTGCACAAAACTATTTCAATACACAATAGACTTGTTATCAAAATGCTTCCAATTATGTGATATGACAGGCCAGTAGCACCGTCCGAGTTATGCAGTAGAATAAATGAATTCAACATGATCACTATAGTTATGGTCTCTAAAATCTTACGTTATAATATCGTACATGTATGTATGTATGTATGTATGTATATATGTATGTATGTATATATGTACGTATGTACTCATAAAACATTTATGCCAACAGAAAGATTGTTGCAAGTTACAACAGATCATGGTGGTTAAGACATGGTTATTGTTGCTTCCGCTTTGCAATTTGCATCATCTATCTTGCAGGACCTGAAGTCACCATGGGTCGTCCACCAAAGCGTCTGCTGGTTTATTCTCTTCTTGTGGTCAGCTTCTTCATCGCAGGCGGCCTGTATCCCAGCATACAGCTCGGTTTGTCAGAGGCGGTGACCAAATGGGTATGTACTCACACCAACATAGACATCTTTGTTGACAAAACAGAAGTACAGCTACCTTCGTGAGGGATTTTTTACAGCTATATCTACAAACAAACAATTGTGTACTAAATCACGTAAACTTACATTCAAGTATATGGATAGCAGCACTGTCCTGTGCAGCGCTGTCCATTATCCTGGGACAAACTATTGAGCATATGGTACATGATGTACATATTCCATACTCTACGGACGGACCATGTGAAGGTTATATACATGGGTATAATAGAACCTTTTATCTTAACCATAACGTTAACGATTCAGAAACTACATCATCTGGAGTTAACCTATCATGTTACATCGTGTGGTATGTAAAGTCTCTACAGTTCAACTAAGGTTGCTATATTCTGTTTGAAGTTAAGAGGACCTTAAAGAAGATGCACTACTAAAGCTTATCAACCACATCACTTGGAATTTACCCTTGAGCGGAGTTAACACCTCGTTGAAAGGGTGATTTTATTAATTAAGGCGGGAAAAGCAATGGTAGGTCTTGCAAATTGAGGCACGTGTTTTCAGTCAAATGAAAAACCATCACAGCTCAATATTTTCGGTAGGTGCCTGAGTGTAAAGGTAGATGACACGGATCATTTTAGGTTCATCGCATACTGCTAGGTGTGTCACTCCACTGACCCGTGCATGTCATGGCGATAACGAGGGGACGGAGTATGCAGTAGCCTACGGGAAGAAAGCTTTGTTAACGAGTTGCATTAAAGATTCGTGTCAAAAGATGTGAATAGTTACAGGCATTAAGGCCTGATACATACTCTTTAACCTATTGGCGATGCCCGTTGTTCTGCAATTACCAATTTAGGACCCTAAACTGGTACCTGTTTATGCTGTTTCTGTCCGTATGGTATTTGAAAGTAAAAGTCCCCCCGATTATGCGGGGCAAATAGCTGTAATTAGATAAGACAGAACTTGTCCAACAGCTTAGCAACAACAAAAGGCCTCTTCTGACAGCTGCCTGCCCTGTGATGGCTGCCAGAGGGTCAAAGTACCTCGAAGGGGGGTGTCATTATTCACGGTAAAAGGAATGGTGTTCTGAGTTGAATGGATTTCTTTTCATGGTAGATCCTCAGAGATGTTATCTTATTCTTTACAGTATATCTAGCACTTTTATTTGACAGATAATCTTTTACGCACTTTCTTTCGTACATGCGCATCGACCAAGACACCTTCCCCGCAAAGTCGGAAACACATGGAGGACTGTCCCTCTCCAAAACCACGACATGTCACTAAAGCAGCTCTAAACTATAACGTTGGACACTTAATTACAGCAACATACTTGGTAAACATAGTAGAGAACGGTCAACAAAGTAAGATGTTTTGGATTGTGACCAAAAATATAAATTTGGAGGGGTTTTTTTCAGCATATGGTGTATTATGCCTTGGGCGAAGCTTAGACCACGACAGAGGAATTAATTGTCTGTGTCCCTTGCTGTGTGATGAAGCATTACAAACTTTGCTATGGCAGCATCACTGTAGCAATGCACTATTCATTTCACTTCTCAATCTAAACTACAAGAATGTCATTAGATTCTGTCGTAGGCTACATGGTGTGATCACAGGCTAAAGCATGAATTGTAATGTTAAATACTCATTCCGCCGATTTCATAACTGGAATATGGTTCACGATTAATTTTAAAGTATAACCTAAAAATCAACGTAACATACAAACGTGAAAAATAGTTCTTTATTATATGTATGAAATCCGTTGTCAAATTTTAGTCGCTCGGTGGTCACAGCATCTAGTGGTAAGGCGAGCTAGCTATAGGTATAAAGAATATATCTCTGTAATCCTTACTCTGTACTCCTTCATGTTTCTCGCTATCGGCAACATCTATCCCAACGATGCTACCTTCAACGCTTCTTGCAGTCTCCATCCTCCAGATCGGTAAGTTATGTCGACGAGAGTAAGATCAGTCAAGATCCCAAACACAGGTGACCCCGCATGATACACATTTAACGTAAACGTAGGTGCCACCATTGATAAAACCCCCATTCCTCACCGAACCCACCCTGCACGCCTGCCTCCCCCACACTCCCGACTGACCCGTCACAGATACTCGTGGTGCTTCTGCATGGCGTGCTGATGACTGTGGCTTACCATTTGTTTAAGGTGTTTACCCTTTGTCTAACCATCGACATTCTTACGTGAAGTAGTAACTGACAAAGACGATGACATGCCCCGTGACACTGCACAACATCCTCAACCGTCTACCCATTGCACTGGTGCTTGATATATAATACTACTCAATTCACTTTTGAACAAGCAGTCACATCAGATTATATTTCTATAGTAAAAAGTAAAAACATACACGTATATTTACAGATTACCTGCACAGTAACTAGGTCTCCACATAAAATCAATCTCGTGGATCACACCAATATCTGCAGCAAACTTCTGACTTTTGGGTGGAGCACATTACATTACATTACATTACATTCTCTTTTACGAATACATGTTTTGTTTCTGTAGGATATAGGTCAGGAAACCCAAAGCAGTCGAGGAGAAATCCTGTCTTCCACGGAGAAAAAAGAAGAACAGAAAACACCATGGTACATAAACTTCATCAGATCATTTCTAGAGACAGAACTCGAACCAGAATCCCGTGTGTCGAAAAGGTCGACCAAACACGGGAAACATCATGCCAAAAGTGACGTGGTAGAGGTCAAAAGTGAACATAAGAAGGAATCAAGTCACAAACATGAAGAAGAATCGTCCCAAGTGACAGAAAGAAGAGGAAAGAGCGGCATCGCCTATTCTGCAGTTCGAGCAATGGAAGAGTCAGAAGAAGCGCTAGACCAGTTCCTCAGAGAATCGCTCCTGACGAGGTCAGACCAAGACGGGCTGAACGAAAACTTTAAGAAACAGGTGAGGTGCCTTGGGATACTTTCTATATCTTGATAAATTATAGCCATCAATTAGTATCCTGCTTTCTATTCCAACTCATCCCGATCTACATTACACGACAATGCACTTTCTAATCTTGTCTTGTGAGAAGAAAGAAACAAATACCAACAAGAAACTGAAGATTTCGAACCTTCGTGAAATATTTCTCGTTCAAATTCATCTGTCTACACGTACCTCTCTGTGTATTTTGCCCGGCCAACATCTTGCTGGCTCCTTTCCATAACTTACTTCTAACTTAATCATTAGGTCAATCCGTGGTAAACAAATCCTCTGTCACCTTCCTATCCCTATATATTTTTATTTCTTACCTTTTCTAACACTTGTTATTTTCTTCTATCTACTGTTTACCAATCCCGATGCCCGTACAGGCCGATGGAGACTGGGTGAAGGCCATGGGCGTGGTGCATCATCTCATGTATCCCATCGGGCAGATCTTCTTCGCCTTTCCAGGCGGCTACTTTGCAGCCAAGGGTTCGGCAGTCAAGTAAGTTCGTCTGTGTCAGATTCGGTACTAGCTGTCAATTATAGGGCATCAATGGCTGTAGTGCAAATTTGTTAGATTCTCTGTCGTAGAGGGCTCTACTTACCATTGTTCTAACATTGCACAGAATCCTGGGGACGGTGATGTTTATATCGTGCCTGGTTCACCTGTTCGTGCCCCTGCCCATGAAGTTCCGTGGCGACGCACATGCCGCTGACGTCTCTGTGGCCGTCATGATGTTCATAGAAGGCAGCTGTCAGGTAACAGCAGATAACAGAACGGTAGAGATGAGAACAGAACAGATGTAACCTGAATTGTGCTCGGCATCGTGTAGATAGCTACAGGAGCACAAATACAGAACAATAGTATTATATTAGCTGGTCTACACCTCACTTGTATAATCAGTACATGCAAAACACAATCGAACTATAATTCAAAGTAGTGTGTTGGTCACCAGTTTTACTTTGCAAAAGCTGAGGATTCGAATTTACAGCATTCCAGTTGATTTGGGGACTGCCATACAGATAAGCATTATGATGATAACATGTAGCGCTTAATAGCGGGGTTGAAATACATGGAGCTGACATATGATATTTTCTTCATGTAGGGAGCGACCGTCCCGGCAGCCTATGGCGTGCTCCACCGTTGGGCTCCTATATCGGAGAGAAGTACAATGGTCGCACTTACCTTATCAAGTAAGTAATGAATACTGATAATATCTTTTATAATTATCTTTAATGACAGCATTTTCAAATGCTGTGTTAAATAAATTAAGAAGTTTCCATCTAAGAGCGAAAGATGATAATGGCCAAAAGCAATATGTCTTGGTAAACATATTATGCTGTTCATATACTATTATTTGTGACCTTTTTGTTTATTTCTGCATCAGTTGCATCTTTTTATTTCCAATCATAACAAAATGATATTCCTCCGACTTTCTCAGCATATTACCTGGGAAAGCTGTCGGGCCAATTTGCCTGCGCTGCCTTACAAAACGCTCATGGGTATCTTCCTGCTTTCTACATTTACGGTAAGAATACAATAATGTAGTATAACAACACCGTCATGTGTTTCTGGGCGTGCTTGTTATTTGTTTGAAATCATTCATTCATTCAGTCATCCATTCATACACATTGAAACCACGTAAGGCAGACTCCAGTTACATCTTAATTATTGATAACATGAAAAGTTGTAAAAGCTAAAGGATGACTTCGTATAAACGTCTTCCACCTTGTTCACTTTTTTGTTCACTTTCCCAGGCCCCCTGGGTCTCATCTGGGCCATAGTGTGGGTCCTCACGGTGAAGCCCAACCCCAGCTTGGACGACAACATCTCCACAACGGAGAAGGACAAAATCAACTCCGGCAAGGACACGGGCATGGTTAGTCACTACTTTCCGGTACAACTTCAGTTGTGGTGATATTTGATCCATTCATGAATTTTTTATTGATAGAAGAAAAAGTTAGATCCTGATTTGCATAATATACATCTGATCATGTCATTCATCATTTAGTCTTGTTTACATGTAACTACCACACAAATGAACTTTCATGATATCATTTAGTCTTGTTTTATCAATTACATTTTATTTATCATTTGTCAGGATGGAACTAAAATCCCGATGAAGGAGGTTCTGACAGACCGGAACACGGTGTCATACCTCGCTACCGGCCTGTGTTTTGCCTGGGGTATGAGTGTACTGTTGAACCACGCACCGCAGTACTTCGCCGAGAAGGTCGCTCTAGATGTCGGACAGGTATGAGAGTTCCTCATGATCAATACCTGCACAGTTGTTACCTCCGGATCAGGATCGGAGGTATTGGTGTGTTTGCTTCCATGTCCGTATGTATTCGAATGCAGTAGAGTGGTAAGAAGGAAGAGGGGGGATTTTGTAACCCCAGATTGACAGGAAGGTCCACTCACACACTTACTGCAATTCACTGGGGGTACTTACCTAGGGTCTATCATAACAATCAGGTTCGTGCACTTCCAGTCTCTTAGTCTGGGAGAGTTCTAGTCGACTTATAGAAGTCAGTTCATCTATATATTTATTTGTACCAATAGCTCTGGATATTTCCTGGAGGTTTGAAATTTCCGACTTTCTGTTCTGTTTGATTTGCGCAAGTTTTCAACCTTTATTGACTCAAATGTATACATTCTCTGATATCTGGCTAAAGAGAGGCAAAAGTATCAGTGACGGAATGTTGCAAAGTATTGAGTCTTTTTCCCTGTTGCAGTCCCCTTGGCTGCTCTGGACGTTGCCCTTAGTGCTGGCAGGTGGTATGGTAGTGGCCGGTCCTGCAGCTGATGTCCTGATCAGTAAGGGCGCCAGCACGGTGAAAATACGGAAAGTTATCACTGGCATTGGTAAGGAATGCTTCTTACTACCGGAAGTACGTGTTTTGTTTTGTTTCCAGTCATGAGAATAGGAAGCGTTTTGTTCTAATTCCAACGTTTCCTCCTTTTTTTCAGTGTGCATGTCTGTGTTTTCCCTCGTAATGGCAATGGCCTTCACCACAAATCCACAGTACGCGTACGGAGGGACAGTGGCTTCTTTAGTCATGATCGGCATGGCCATGGGAGGAGGTGGGTATGAGAGTTCACTGTTTAATATGCATATATGTGCAAAGGTGAAGCCTCTTTCAACAGTTCTTGTCCCGATTTTACTTGATAATCAAGGCTTATTTTGTCTCAGGAGCCATACAACACACGAATGATCTCTCTTTATCAGTGTGCGTTATAACAGTATCTGTATTCTGAAAATACCCCAGGTTATGGGGTGACGCCGCTGGACGCCTCGGACAGGTACAGCAGTATAGTTGTTGGTATCGGCGTGTCCATCAACACGGTTCTGTTCCTGGTCAGTCCTCTCGCCGTCTTGGCGCTCAACAAAGTACCAATGGTGAGTTCCTGATGTTTCTATGTACATTGCTGGTGGGTTTGACGTCGAGGCAGTTGCAAATGAATCGTCCACTTTTTATGATTAACAACACCTTTTGATACTACTCAATACTCCAAACCCCAGTATTTTCATTTAAGCTTTAAAACTGACAACAGGTCTTTACTTATTGATACAGCCTTTGAAAAGACAGGCAGAAGAAGCTGTTGCCGGCTGGCAAAACGTCCACATCATCACCGCCGTCGTCCTGATCATCGCGCCGGTCATATACGGGATAGTGATGGGGAAGGGCAAACTGTTGACGTAAGTCTCTTTCTCTCATCTTTAACAGTTATACTATTAACAAAATTCTGTGCATTATGTCCACGCAGTTTTTTCCAAATGCCCAAGAATGCCCCTAGTTTACGAATGTGACCAGACCCTTAGAAAATAATGGACCGCTATTCCCGAATCAACCATTTCAGTGCACACAGCACTGTTAGTTATATATGTTTATCTCTTTAACAAAACAGATGGCCTCCCAAAAAACCGAAGTTCCCGAAATTTGAACTACCATCGTGTCCGACCGGCTGTCCTTCCTTCCCGAAACTGAAGAAGCTGAAGATGTTGAAACTCCCGTCGGTAAGTTCACTACAGGTAAGATCGTTCCCTTTATGTTCATCTACTGGTGGCTGGAAGGGAGCCCTGAGAACGAGGTCAACATGCGCAGGTGATCGCCAGGGTGATGACCGGCAACCGCCATAAGAGAAGTGAAAAGGCTTTGACTTCATATTGTAGATGAACTGGCCTTCCACTGCACAAATCTAAGAAAAAGGAACACTATGTAGAGGAATAAAAAAAATCTGTGTAGACAGTAGGCTTCAGAGTTAGTTTCAGAGTTAGAGGGATCTTTGTAAGATGCATATGGCTAAAAGATTCAAACAACGTTAACGATGGTGGCATCTGCAAATTTTACTCAAGGGAGCGGAGTGTGGAGAGGTGTTACTGTGGACTAAACGTGACTGGTGAATTGATTTATGATTTATGAAGATTTACCAAATGTATTGTTTGAATATGCACGTGCACAACTTGGTTACTTCCGTGGATTTTTTTTACTTATTTTCATTACTCAAATTCCAGCTGCCTAGCTGGAGCACCATCAAGAGGAAATCACAAAAGCGTTACATCATGGCCGCCATGTCTTCACTTGGCTTCATGATCCAATATGGCGGCCGTGCCAATCTGGCGGTCTCTATGGTAACCATGGTGATGCCCAACCCCTTGTCGAAGAGGCAGCTACAGGTATGTAGATGTGCTTCATAGATCACAACGACATAAGTGACATAACGGTTGAAAGAATTTTGCTACGTTCTGATGTAAATGACTCATTTACTCAACCGTGACGGGGGGCGATATAGACATCCTACCAACTTTGACTCATCACTGACGTCACAGTTGTGAAAAATAACATATTTTCATATCAATTGGGTCAGAAACCTGAGGAAGACGGAAAGATTCGGTCAAATGTTTCGGGAATACTTTTGAGTTGATGAACAGTTTAAAGTTTCTCATAATGTATTTTGCCAACTCAGATGAACTTTCATGCTTATTTCCTGTTTGTTGTTCTGTGTTGCAGTTCTCGAACCTGGACTGGGGCCCGTACTCACAGCTAGTCATGGGAGCTGTGCACGCCTCCTTCTTCCTGGGTCTGCTCGCCTCTCGCCCGTTCGCGAACCCCATCCTGCGGCGGGTGTACGCTACCAGGTCAGCCTTTATCACAGTGATTCTGTATTGTACATGTGTATTAATTGTGGTTTATTCACCCACAAGACAAACATACAATGGCAGCAGTTATGGGCTAAATTGGAGTATGACTACAATGTGTTTATATAAAAGTTGACACAACCATTGGCAATGACAATGATTAAGATTATCTTAATAAAGATAATTGCTATATCTTTCTTCATTTATTAATCTGAGTTGTTACCGCCTGTGTCCACAGGGCATTCGCCTGTTCTATCTTCGTGTCGTCCATCCTGCACCTGCTGATCCCTGTGTCCGCTGCCGGACACTACAGCGTCATCATGCTCGTCAGGATCCTGCAGGGGATGGCAGAGGTAAACATGTTTTTTTTCTGTATGGTAAAACAGAGAGGGACTTTGTGATGAAGGATAGACATGTTCGAGCTGAGCCACGGTGGAAATGTCAGATGAAATAATTAACACCCCTCACCACTGGAGGCTGCCAATGAGTGACCAATGGGCGACGATATATTTGAACGTTTTGCCTCTTTTCTTGTCTTTTAAAGTCAAATGCTTACATGCATCATATTGCAATTATAAAATCAAGGGTCACAATCTAGTGGAGGGGCCAAAAGAAACAGACTGAGTGTAGACTGATTTCGAAAAATATTATTGAGATGAAAAAATGTATACGGTTGATGACTGACGCATGTTTTCCAGGGTATGACAACACCAGCCATGTACGGGTTCTGGGTAAAATGGGCCCCGGCGAGTGAGATGAGCAGCATTAGTTCATTCACCGTCACAGGTAGGCATGCGCAGATATCAGGATAAAGATGAAGTGGACTGAGACAGCTGAAGATACAATGAATATTTGAGTTACATGATTCGAATGTTTGAATGAATACACAATAATTGCAACACTTTTAAATTTCACCCCAAAAGGTATTACATTATAACATCATTTACACTTTAGACCACAAATGTATTTTTCAGGCCAGTATATCGGCATCGTTGTCGGCATGGTGGCATCAGGGTTCTTGGCAGAGTCCGCGGCAGAGTGGCCCTGCTCGTTCTACGTCTATGGTAGGTTAACACTTCAATGGTTATGTTATTGGGTTGCGCCTAAAGTCCGTGAAACATGAAGTTCCAGTAAATGACATTTTTACAAAATTAAGGGTATGAAATTACTGTCATCCTGTTTCCCCCAGGCGGCCTTGGCGTGGCCTGGTCCCTGATGTGGTTTGCCTCTGTGTACCCGACTCCGGAGTTCGACCCGGGAGTGACGGAGCAGGAGTGGAAAGCCATCATGTCTCCTCCTCCTCCTCCTCCTCCTGCTCCAGCCAAGCCTGCGGTAAGTACATATACCTCACTGTGTATCACGCAATGGGGTTGTCGTGTGGTGTTCATCAGCTGTCATAATCAATGTCACTTTAATGTGAGATGTGTTAGACTAAGTTAAGTTCAAAGAATGAATGAATGGATCTGGATGAATAATCATACGACAATTATACAATAGCAGCTGTTA